GCCTCTTCAACAAATGGTGCTGGCAAAACTGGACAGCTACATCTAAGAGAATGAAACTGTCTAACTCTATTCACAAAAGTAAGCTTGAAATGGATCAAAGACCTGACTGTAAGTCCCGAAACCATGACTCAAAGACAAAAACAGAGAGAAAATCTCTTGAATGTAAAGATGAGCAACTTTTTCCTGAATGCATCTCCTTGGGCAGGGGAATCAAAGGCAAAAATGAACAAATAGGTTACATCAAATTAAAGCGCTTTTGTACAACAAAGTACACCATCAGTAGAACAAAAAGGCATCACAAATATGGGAGAACATGTCTATCAATGACTAATGCAATGAGGGGTTAACATCCAAAATATATAAAGAACTCACACACCTCAATCCCTCAAATGCAAACAACCCAATTAAAACATGGGCAGATGATCTGAACAGACACTTCTTCAAATAAGAAATTCAAATGGCCCACATGGACGTGAGAAGATGTTCCACATCACTAATCATCAGGCAAATGCAAATTAAAACCACAATGCTACGACCCCTCACACCAGTTAGGATGGCCAACAACCAAAAGACAAGAAACAACAAATGCTGGCAAGCATGCGGAGAAAGCAGGACCCTCCTACACTGTCGGTAGGAATGTAAATTATTTCAACCATTGTGGAAACAATATGAAGGTTACTCACAAAACTAAAAATAGAAATACCACTTGACCCATGAATTCCACTCCTAGGAAACTACTCAAAGAAAACAAGTTCTAAGATTAAAAAGACATATTCACCCCTATGATTATTGCAGCATTATTTACAATAGCCAAGATGTGGAAGCGACCAAAGTGTCCATTAGTAGATGAATAGATAAAGAAGATATGGTATATATACACAATGGAATATTATCCAGCCATAAAAAGAAAACAAATCCTACCATTTGCTACAACGTGGATGGAGCCAGAGGGCATTATGCTCAGTGGAGAAAGACATGTACCGAATGATTTAACTCATTTGTGGAGTGTAACAAAGCAAAAATGAAGGAACAAAACAGCAGCAGACTCGCAGACTCCAAGAATGGACTAGTGGTAACCAAAGGGAAGGGGCTGGTGAGGGTGGGTGGAGAGGGAGGGAGAAGGGGATTAAGGGGCACTGCACTAGTAGTCACAATAGTGTTAGGTTACGGGGAAGACAGTACAGCACAGAGAAGACAAGTAATGACTCTACAGCATCTGACTATGCTGATAGACAGTGACTACAATGGGGTGGGGTGGGGGGGACTTGATAATATGGGTGAATGTTGAAACCACAATGATGTTCATTTGAAACCTTCATAACATTGTCTATCAATGACACCTTTAACTAATTAATTAATAATAAGTAAATAAACAAGCTGGCAAGAAAAAAATCATACCAGGATTAATGATGGGCATTAAATAATGACAGAGTGGTCAACTCTCAAAGTAAATGTAATTTGTATGGACCACACAACTCACTGTTAAACCACATGAGGCAAACACTGATGAAACAAATCTTTTAGAGATGGAAACTTCAACATCCCTTTATTAGTAATGGATGCTTCCAGCAGGCAGAAAATCAGGAAAGTACAGTTGAACTGAACAACTCCATCAGTTAACTAGATGCACATGGTATTGGGAATTATGCACACTTAAGACAACAGCAGAAAACACATTCTGTTCAAGCTCCCAGGGAACATACCCCAAGAAAGATCCCATTCTGTGCCCTACAACTTCTCACCAAATGTCAAAGAGCACAAGTCACCCAAAGAACACTTTCAGACCAAGATAGAATTGATTATACTAGAAATTGATACCACAAAGACGGCAGGAAAATCAAAAGTATTTGGCGATGAAACAATACACTTCTGAGTAACACATAGGCCAAGGAGGAAATCTGACGAGACATTTAAAAACACTTTGAACTAAAACAGGAAAACCAGAGCTAGTACAGAGCCAGAAGCCATGCTAGAAGACCAAAGAAATTAGAGGTATGAAGAGTAAAAAGGAAAAGATAATAACAGGAACAGTTTCATCCTCTAATTCAACAAATCTAAGGGAACAGGCACAGAAAATACTGAAACGTGCAAGGGATTCAGAAAACTGGTACCAAAAAGATCATCAGAGCAAAATCTGGACAGTGTTCTGAAGGAAAATCAACAGTTACTTAGGTCGTGTAATGACAAATATACCACACACAGCAGAAACGATATAAAAAAACATACTTAGAAACACACCTCACAAACACGTCCACACTCTTTAAAGAAGCGAGTCTAAACATTTCCTGACCGACTCAGGAAAAAGAAGCGTCAGCAAGAACCACAGGCCATGCGCACTCACGAGGAGCACACGTTCTAAACCTATCAGTCACCCTTAACTCCTTGGTAGACTTAGGGCCTCACCCATAGCAGCTGAGATGACAGCCACACTCAGGCCACTGTTCCCCATGCCCAAAATCAACCCTGGAAAAATTAAAGGAGTGAAGAAAAACCAGTATGAACAAAAACAGAAACTCACAGCAAAGGAAACTCTGAGGGACATCGTATCTCCACCCGCCTACAAGCTCCGTGGGCAGAAGCGATGAGGCCCTGGAGAGGAGACAGGTCTGTAGTTGCAGTAAGGGCAGCTGTCAGGTTGGGAGGAAGGATGTGGAAGTTCAGCCCGTGTTTCTTCCCGAGTGCCTGGGGACAGGGAGTTTCTATTACTTCACCGGAGAGATGGGAGGCAGAAACTCAAGAGCACACGTACCAGAAGCATGGGTAATAACCAGACGTCAGAGTTGGTGGTGGCAGTGTGAGTCCACCGGCTGTGCTAAAGCAGCTGAAACTTCAGCAGTGAATGAGGACTGGCCCTAGTTAACGGTCATCTTAACAGAATATAAAGCATGAACTAAAATAGAATAACAAGACCAAAGTAATTTAACATGAGGCCAGAAATTCATTCAGAAGCATCTGGGCAATGAGCCTCATGTCCATAAAGAGAGATCACACAGTGTGAGGGCACAGGCTAAGGAGCCCCTCACTCTGCCCTTTGGGATGTTGTGTACCAAGGTAGAGGACAGGAATGGAGTCACATCAGAGAAGGGAGGGACCCCAGGCTCTCTGCCCGCAGTCACTGTGAGGATCTGAGGGAGGACGCGGAGCTACACACCCTAGGGGGTATGGGATCCCACAGGATCCCCTCTGTCCCGTCACCACACACACCTGCAGCAGCCAAGCTCGGGAGGCGACAGGCAGCTGTGGCCAGGTGAGGTGTACACGCATTTCAAAGCCGGGCTCTGAGAACTGACATCTTTCAGGTAAGGAGTTGGCCTCTGTCACGAGAGAGGAGGTAGCTCAGCACCTATGAGGAGTCAAGGGAAGGCATAGAAAGGGCTGAGAGGGGCACCTACCAACCCGACTGCCAGACCTGTGGGAGACCCTGTCACGGTACTAGGTGAAGGCCCCCAAATACTCCCTCCTGGGGGTGCTGAGGGGAATGAGAGGCTTAGCGGGAGGCCAGCTGACTCAGCTCAGCAGAGCCTCAAGTCCCAGGCCCAGCCTTATGGGACTATCAGCAGAAGCAAGCCGGTCCCTCCCCCGACTGCCCCCACTCTAGCCAAAAAACCCCTTCCCGCCCACCGTACCCCACCTCCCACCCCGAGTGGGAGGCCTGGTGCGCAGGACCGGTAGTAGCCCTTCCTAACTTCCGCCTATCCAGGCCATGGGTGGTCATGGCGGCGGAGGCCTTGGGTGAGAGCTGATGTCTCGGCCAAGCACACAGACAAGCCCCACGTCTCTCGTCAGATGCTGAGGTGCCAGGCATCTGGAGTAAGAACTGTGAGGATGCGCCCCCGATAACCCCCAAACCCCTTACCCCAGAGAAGAGGCAGCCACAGCCCCACCTGCCCCAACTCATGGTCCGGGGAGGACTCGGCAGGGCCGTGAGGTCCCAAGTCCAATTACTTTCCGCAAGGGGGCCTCAGGGCCCAAGGCTTGTCCCAGTTCTGGTGGCCTCTGGCTCAGCTCAGCAGAGGGAGAAATCCCAGGCCCTGTGGAGGGAAGAGGGGCCCTCTGGGAGGACTGAAGGGACTACAGGCCCCAGAACAGGGCAAAATCAAGCGCTACTCCTGACGTCAGCCTGAGAGGGTGCGGGGCAGGCCTGACGATTCAGGCGCTTCTTCCCTTTGTCCTCAGCCGAGTCACGGAGGAGGGGCTGTGTGTGTGTGTGTGTGTGTGTGTGTATTATATATATAACATATATATAATATACATATATAATATATATACATATATATATAATACATATATAACACATATATATGTGTAACACATACACATATATGCATATATATATATACATATATATATACACACACATATATACATATGTGTTTGTGTGCACGCGCATGCACATGCTCCTGGCGGTGGGGCCTTGGGGGGGGTGTGTGTGTGCAGTGTCATGGGAGAGGGGCCTTGTGTGTGTGTGTGTGTGTGTTCCTGGTGGGTGGTAGGGGGTTGGTTGCAGGTCAGCAGGAGGAGGATTTCCAGATCAGGCCAGGCATTGGGGTGAGTGCATGGCCTGTCCCATCCAGTCCTGTCAACCCTTGAAATACCACAAAGCTCTGCCAGGATGAGACATCATATAATGTCCCATAGTGGACCTGGGGGACATTAGAGCTTTGCTCTTAAGGTGCAGTGGGGCATCAGTCTACAGGAGGGAGGGTCCCAGGACCACCATCAGCAAACATGAGAATTTGGTTTCATTCTGAACAGCCACAGAACATGGGCCATGGACGCCCTGGCATGACTCCCCCCCCAGGTTCTCAGGGCTGAGGACAGGCTGACCAGGAGGCCAGGGGGTGGCGGCCTTGGCTAGCCCCCATGTAGCATCAGGCATCTCAGCCTTGAGGGCGCTCATGCCCTCTACTTCTCTCCCCTCCTCTTCTCTTCCTTCCAGGTGATCACACAACTTGCCCTCCTATCCACGACCCTGCCTACAGTCCCTACCCGGTGCCAGCATGCCATACAGGTACAAGAGTAAGAAACACCAACGGGAGAAGTGCCACAAGGGCCAGGGGCACCCCCGTGGTCCGGAGGGTGCCCGGGAAGCTGTGGCAGCAGCAGAGGTCCTGGAGCCTCCCTCCTCATCCTCATCCATGGAATCTTCCCTGAGCTCTTCTGCTGTGAGCACACGCATGGCTCTGACCCTGGAGACAGAGCCTCATGCTGCCATGGGCACCTCTGACCCAGGAGACCCGGAAGATGCTGCCAGCCAAGATGAGCAGGGCACAGGCTCCTTCCAGGCAATACCACCTGAGCCCAATGCTCATAGGGATCTGCTGAGCAGGAAGGTCAACATGATGATGGAATCCCTGCTGGAGAAGTTCAAGACCAAGGATTCCATCACACAGGCTGCACTGATCAAGATCATCGGCATGAAGTACAGCCACTACTTCCCCGAGCTCCTCAGGAGAACCTCCAGGCGCATGGAGCTGGTCTTTGGCCTGGAATTGAAGGAAGTCAACCACAAAAGGCACGTCTACACCCTGGTCAGCACGGGCCTTGCCGGTGATGAAAATCTGAGCAGTGATAAGGGGCTTTCCACCAGCGGCTTCCTCATGTCTCTACTGGGCGTGATCTTCATGAAGGGCAACCGTGCCACCAAGAAGGAGGTCTGGGAGTTCCTCAACACGCTGGGGGTCTATGCTGGCAGGAGGCACCCCATCATTGGGGAACCCTGCAGGCTCATCAACAAAGAGCTGGTGCAGCAGAAATACCTGGAGTACCACCAGGTACCCGGCAGCGACCCACCCTGCTATGAGTTCCTGTGGGGTGACAGGGCCCATGCTGAAACCAGCAAGATGAGGGTGCTCGAGTTCCTGGCCAAGATCTATGACACAGTGCCAAGTTCCTTCCCTAGCCTCTACAATCAGGCTTTGAGGGATGAGCAGGAACGGAAGGGATTCAGGGCCGCCTCTGCTGCCAAGGCCCCTGAGCCTTCTGGGGCAACTTCCCACAGCTCCTCCAACATCTAGGCAGCACTGGGGTAGCTCTGTCACTTTGTGGGGGGAAGAGAGTGGCAGCCTCCTAAGTAGCTGAGAGGAATAAGGTCTGCAGGGAACAATGTGTGCACCCAGTTCTAAGTGCTAAGTGCTCTAGCACAGTGTTTTACTTTTGTTTATTTCAGTGTTTGTTGAGTGTTGGAGTCCCCTAATAGTTAATTTGCCTTCAGATTTATGTTAAAACATAACAAGCCTCTGTTGATTGCTCTTGATTTAACAGACTCGAGAGTTTCAGTGGTGGTGAAGTGTAAAAGAAATGTTTTAACCATCTATATTTGCTTGATGATCTAGATAGATAGGCTGGGTCTGTAGAGGGGATAGTGCCATGAAATGTGAAAGCCCACCACCACAAAATAGTGGGCAAAATTAAGCTGTTTTCAGAGAGAAAAACAACTGAAAAAAAGGAAAGGATGTTGAATTCATGGTTTGCATTTTTTCTCTTAGTGTATTTCAATAAAGGTAAAAGATACTTGCATTCTTTGAGCTTATATTGTCTTTTCTTTCTACTGGATTAAAAATAAACTCTGATGGGAGGGTGGTAATTTGGAGGTTCATAACAATCCTAAGTGCCATTCACTAAGACCCAGTATTTCTTGAGCGGTATGCCAAGTACTTTACAAGATAGTACATACATCCCAACATTCCACAGGACAAGTGTTAGTCAACTTCCTTTACAGGTGAATAACTTGCCAAGTTGTCAAGTTCACAAGACTGGTAAGTGACCTCACTGGGGCTAGAGCTCTAGTCTGGGGTGGTCTAGATCAATCCTACACTCTTCCATTCCCCCAGGCTGAACCACAGCTTGTGGCTCTTTTTCATTTATCTTCTCATCATGCCAAAATGCATCCCATGAGATAAAAGCGACCCTGTTCCCAAAGCACAGATTTGCAATAGAGAGCCACAGTAATAATGCTGAATAGACGAGTGGCATGAATAAAGGGAAAAAATTGAATACCCAGTGATCTGATGATCATCTCCATACTCAAAGTCCCATAACCTGAAAGGATCAGGGGCTCTCAAAATCCTCTTGCTCTGCCCCAACCCTGTTGAAAGTCGATCCGCAGAAGCAGTTACCTGAGCAGGGAAGTTGGGCTGGAGAGCAGGTGGCAGAGAGATGAGGGGTGGTGAGGGCAATGGTCTGTGGGCTGGATGACTCCACAAAGGAAACATTTCCACGTTGCGCCAAGAATCGGGGAGGATCCCGGGGATAGAGCAGAACACGAAGACCACAACAATGGGGGCAGCGCCTCAACACTCCCTTACTGCCAAGTCCTGGGAGGGGCTTGGACAGAGGGGACGCAGAGCGCAGGCAACAAACCGGTGGTCAATTCCTGTCTGGGGTGACTGAGAAGTGAGGTCGGTGGCAGGGCAAGGGAAGGACGACTCACAGGCCCTCCCAGAATCAAGCAGCGCAACCGCCAGAAAGCCTGAATGGGCCTGCCACCGCTTTCTGCCTCAGGAGGGCACAGGCAAGTGTGGCCAAGCACAGCTACCCTCACTTCCTTCTACGGGGTCTCAAGCCTAGGCCCTTACTGTGAGGTGAGGTGACATCCTCCACTCTGGGGGAGAGAGGACCCGCAGGTCCTCCCAGGAGTCAGTCAAACTGAGGAGGCCCCACCTCCCAAACACCCGGATACAGAGGAAAACCAAGAGTTCAGTCTTGCCATCCTTTCAGCACTTAAAAGCTCAGGGCAGAATTGTGAGGCAGAGGCTCCCCGACCGCTCCTGTATGTCACATCTAAGGGAGGCAAGGTCCTTGGTCTGCAGGTGAAGCCATGGGAGGGCAGATGAGTGGGTCCCAGGCCCTTCGTGGGGCCAGCAGGAGAGAGCCAAGTAGGGCCTGAGGACCCAACAACGCCCGGACAAGGGAGGTCCCACACAGCTGGTGGCACTGGTTACCCCTGTCAGGGGCGGTGGGCTGAGGTCCCCCTCACTTCCTTCCTGTGGGTCCCAGGGAGCAGTGAGCTGTCAATTCCAGAGAAGCAGGAGGGAGGCACCCAGGCCCCATCAACTGTTGCCATGGTGAGCTGAAAGAACTGGGCAGACCCCCTGCCCTAGGACACCGGGGGCTGCACTGCCTGTGCCTTCAATCAGCTCAGGAACACTCAGGCAGGGCTGGTGGTCTGCAACCTACAGCTCGCTCAGATTTCCTCCAAAGGGTCCCCAGGGGACAGGCTGACCCTGAGAACAGGGATCGTCTGGGGACCTTAGTGGGGCCCTCCCAGATCCTGCAGAGGGAGGCGGCCTGAGTCAGAGCCAAGGGGGGATCTCGCTGCCGAGGAGCCTCAGGCCCTCGGCTTCTCCCTCCTCCAGGAGACTGCACAGCCCATCCTCTCCTGCCCGCACTCGTGCCTGCTGTCTGTGCCCAGTGTTCTCATGCCTCAGGGGCAGAAGAGTAAGCTCCAACCTGGGAGAAAGGTCCCTAGGATCTGAGGGTAGTAAGGCCCAGCAGGAAGAGACTCTCCTTCCTCTTGTCCTCTTCTAGGGGGTACCTCCTAGAGCTACCCCACTGCTGGCATTCCCCGGGAGCCTCACAAAGCCCAGAGCAGCACCACTGCTTCTGTAGGGGTTTCATGCACAAGATCTGCTGAAGGGGCCAAGAGCCACGATGAGGGACAGACAAGCACATCCCCAGCAGCAACCTCCACTGAGAGCCATGCCACGGCCGCTCTGGCCAGGAAGGCGAAACATGTGGCAAAATATTAATGGATTGGAGAATGAATGGTGTTCACGGTGCTATTAACTTTTTGTAGTTCTGAAAATTACCATCAAGCGATACCTTAAAGAAAAGGAAAAGTCAATGATATTGACAAATACAAAAGACAGACAATATTAGGAATATGAAAAATCTTCTACGTAAACCACAAGCAACCAAAAGAAAAATGAAGGGAAATAAAGAACAGACATTTGACAGATAATAAATTTGAAATTTTGTGTTCCAATAAATGAAATGCAAATCAAATTCAAAATGATATATAATTTTTTTTCTATTCAGATTCATGAAAATTCAAGTGAAATTGTCTAATAATGCAACATGTTGGAGAGAATACAGGTCTCCCACAAACCACCTCTACAGGGTATTTTAAAGGGACTGCTCTAGACAGAAGCACTCCTAAGCCTAAATAGATGTCACCAGAGAAAATAAAATCACAGCAAAGAAAGGAGACCAACCAAATACTAACTAAAGGCAAAAAATAAAATCAACTACCCACAAAAGCAGTTAAAGGAAACACAAAAGAGCATAGCATAAAACAACCAACATATAAGGAAAGGAGGAGGAGGAATAAGGAGAGGAATAAAGAATCACCAGACAGTGTCTATAACAGCTCAATAAGCGAGTTAAGTTAGACAGTAAGATACTAAGAAGCTAACCTTGAACCTTTGGTAAACAGGAATCTAAAGTGTGCAATGCAATAAGTACATATCTTTCAATAGTCACCCTAAATGTAAATGGGCTGAATGCACCAATCAAAAGACACAGAGTAATAGAATGGATAAAAAAGCAAGACCCATCTATATGCTGCTTACAAGAGACTCACCTCAAACTCAGATACATGCACAGACTAAAAGTCAAGGGATGGAAAAAGATATTTCATGCAAACAACAGGGAGAAAAAAGCAGGTATTGTAATACTACTATCAGACAAAATAGACTTCAAAACAAAGAAAGTAACAAGAGATAAAGAAGGACATTACATAATGATAAAGGGCTCAGGCCAACAAGAGGATATAACCATTATAAATATATATGCACCCAACACAGGAGCGCCAGCATATGTGAAACAAATACTAACAGAAGTAAAGGAGGAAATAGACTCCAGTGCATACATTTTAGGAGACTTCAACATGCCACTCACTCCAAAGGGTAGATCCACTGGACAGAAAATAAGGACACAGAGGCACTGAACAATGCACTAGAACAGATGGATCTAATAGACATCTATAGAACTCTACATCCAAAAGCAACAGGATACACATTCTTCTCAAGTGCACATGGAACATTTTCCAGAATAGACCACATACTAGGTCACAAAAAGAGCCTCAGTAAATTCCAAAAGATTGAAATTCTACCAACCAACTTTTCAGACCACAAAGGTATAAAACTAGAAATAAATTGTACAAAAAAACATAAAAGGCTCACAAACACATGGAGGCTTAACAGCATGCTTCTAAATAATCAATGGATCGACAAACAAATTAAAATAGAGATCAAGGAATATATGGAAACAAATGACAACAACAACACAAAGCCCCAACTTCTGTGGGACGCAGCGAAAGCAGTCTTAAGAGGAAAGTATATAGC